AGACGAGACCGAGACCATCAAAAAATGGTCTTAAGACCGGTCTTAAGACCAAGACCAACTTCGAGTACCACAACACTGGTGGTGCAGAGTACTGGGTTTATCACTCAGAGGAGAGCTGGGATCCCACCCTCTGGGATCCCACCCTCTGGGATCCGTCTGTCAGGGAGTCCATCATCCAGCAGCAGATGTTGTGAGGGGAGACCCAGGACCCTTAATGTCCTCACCAGTTTACTTGGAATGATGATGTTATCTAGGAAGAGCAAATAGTCCCTTTGCTGTTCCACGTGTGTCAATGTCCTGGCAGAGCGGTAACCATGGCGATGGCGTCCTCTGTAGACCAGTTGGTTCTGTAAACTGGTGGAGGTCGGCTGTGGGCCTTGGGCGGACCCTGGCTGCGCTTATGGTACTGTGGTCACATGTCAACTACAGGAGAGGCAGAGGTCAAAGTTCATTTAGGGGCACAAAGAACAAGATCTTAATATAAAGCACATCAACAACCACTCCAACATGGAATCAGATCTTACTGTTGAACTGTCCTCATGTGGACAATGCTGTCCACTGCAGCTTTTCCTGATGGGTTCAGTGCTGCTGATGAGACGTTTCTGCTGCTGACAGTGTTGATCTGAGACTATGGTTGTTAAAATAATAGGAACAGAACAACGACCTGCTGAGGAGGTAAAACTGTCACCATGGAGAGAAGTGGGCAGGATGACCTCAGGATCGGCTTGGACGTCCCCGACTTTCTGTTATTTTAGACTTTAAATGGCTGTGCAAATATTGTCCTGTGCTGTCTGGAGCATTTACAGGTAATTAATGTCACCAAAATGTAACTTTTCTGCATAAGAAACCAAGTCATGAGTGAGCTTTAGTAATGAAAACATGACTGATAATATTTTACAATCTTTTCATGGACATGTCAGGATTTTTCGTTTTAATTACACTGATACTTTCAGTGGATACTTGAGTTTGAGGAATTTTGGCCAGTTTATTAGTTGTAGCTTTAAAAAAAAACTACAGAAAACCAGATATTTCAGCAAAAAGCAAACCTCATAACCCTGTTAAAGGAAGAGGGCGGTCTTTATTTAACAGGAGGAAACGATGAACAGAAGTCAGATCAGTCAGAGCCGCCATGATGGAAACATCTCCTCTATTTCTGCTCTGTGAGTAAAGATCATTTATTTATTTAGTGATAATTTATTCACTGCTTTGATGGAAACTGATTCTAGAACAGATCATTTAAAATGAGTGCTCATATTTTACTGGAAACTTGATCTGTATTATATGAGAAAGTTTGGGAGAAAACATTTTCTATGCTGCCTGTTAATGTTAGTCACTGCAGTTATTGCTAACTATCATAAAGGCAGAATATGATGGATCAATATATTTTGTTCCAAACACGAAAGAGAATAAACTGATGAGATTCAGACATCAGATGTCGAGTCCTGGTGAACTTATAGATTTAATTTGAATAATTTTATTATAGCATCAACATCTCTGAGCTGTAAATTCATGTTATACAGTAAAAACAAGCATGTGGAACTGATGAAATATTAAATTACCAATATGTTTGATTTCTCTTCAGTTCAGACTTTAATGGTTTTCTGCATAATGGATAAAGGTTGGTAAACTTTGATCACTTTTAAAACTTTTCAAATATTAGTCAAAAATATCAAGTATTAGAATAACTGTGTGTTAATGCTGTAGCTGCTATCAACATTTTTAATTATTTTTATTTTGAACAAAAATGAAAGTCACATGTAGATTTTATCTCCAGTCTTCCCAGTTCGTCTGACTGTGAGTCCCAGCAGATCTCAGTTCTTTAAAGGAGAATCAGTGACTCTGATCTGTGAGGATGAAAACAGCTCTGATGGAGGAACTGTGAGGAGAAACACAACCAGAGGAACCAGGAAGCGATGTGGAGATGGATGGGGGAGACCAGCTGGTTCTACCTGCAGCATCAGTTATATCTTAGAAAAATACTCTGGTCTGTACTGGTGTGAGTCCATGTCTGGATCCTCCAGCAGCAGCAGCAGCAGCAG